CTACGAGTATTTGATTTTCATAGGAATTATGAAGACTTAACTGAAATCATATTAATTTTAAAAAATCAAATTATTTCAAAAAGTAATGATACTGCGCATGGGTTATGGTATCTTACCAAAAATTTCACAGCATTTTAAAAAATGGATTTATAACAAATGGGAGGAGGGGCTTGATCTCCACATCACCAGGAGCAGCAGAGCCGCAGGATCCCAGGTCTGGACCCGGCACACCACCTGCTGGCTCTGGGACCTTGAGTCATATTTCACCCATGAGCAGTGGACATACGTTCCTTGCAGGGTTCTTCAAAGGTTAAGTCCTCTGAATCCTTTGTGAGGGTTAACTAAGTGTACACACAGGACGAGCTTAAAACAGTGATTGGTTGGTTCATCGTCAGCGCTTAGGAAATGTTGGCCATTTTTATTTCTTTTTGAGGCCAAATAGGATGTACCCAGGCAAAAGATTGAGGACTTTCTGACCTGTGATGTGACTTCAAGTGGAGGGAGCTTGCACAACAGACCTTTTATCAAGTCATGGGTGCCTGGTGAGGAAGAATGCAGCCCCACCAGGGGAACAAAGACAACTGCTTCCCCCATCACCTACAAGCCCCTCTCCCACCCACCACCTCTGCTGACCCCTCCCCTACCTGACCCTTAAGACGCTGCCCCTTGGTTTTTATTTTGTTTTTTTTTTTGAGACAGTCTCAAGCTATCCCCCTGGGTAGAGTGCCATGGCATCACATTCACAGCAACCTCCAACTCCTGGGCTCAAGTGAGTCTCCTGCCTCAGCCTCCCAAGTAGCTGGGACCACAGGCGCCCACCACGACGCCCAGCCATTTTTTGGTTGCAGCCATCATTGTTGTTTGGCGGGCCCGGGCTGGGGATTCGAACCCGCCGCCTTAGGTGTATGTGGCTGGCGCCTTAGCCGCTTGAGCCACAGGCGCCGAGCCCAAGACGCTGCCCCTTGTGAGGCCGTTAACAGGGACCCAACCTGGGTGATGTGTCCCTATGATATTTCCAGCCACCCTCACGCAGCTTTATATTTGTTTGCTTTGTCGCAGCCAGTAAGCACTCTGATCTGAAAAAGTGAGCAGCTCTCTAACTTACTTCATGGCTTTAGGGTAGTCATTTAACCTCCCTGAGATAAAATGGAACACCCTGTAGGGGGCGGGTGCCTAATATATGGAGAGTGCTTCTGTTAACTATGAACATTTTCTGAAAACCCCTGAAATCTCTTCATAGCAAGTTTACAGTCCTCAGGCAATATATGGATGCTTTCCGTGGTGTAGACGCAGCACCCGCACCTGAGCGGCTGTTTTGCTGCAACAAGCGTAGCACAGGATGTAATTCAGCCTGTCCTGGTATCCCCATCACCAGTGGCTGCGTCACAAATTACGGGACATGCGGTGGCATGAACAGCGGTGCTTCCTGCCTGCAGCTTCTGCAGGTCAGGATTTGAGCAGGTTTCCAGAGTCTTCGATGTCTGGGGCTGCTATGAGGGCAGGGACATCTGGGGGCCTCTTGACTCATGCCTAGAACTTGGGCTGAGATAACGGAAAGATATGCCAGGAGGGCACTGCCAACTGGACACTCACCATATCCTCTCCACGTGTGTTTTGTTTTGTTTTGGACCAAGTCTCACTCTGTTGCCCTGGGACTAGAATTCAGGGTCACAATCCCCCTAGCTCACCCCTAACTTCAAACTCCTGCCTCAGCCTCTCAAGTAGCTGAGACTACAGGTGTCCACCGTAAGGCCTGGCTAGTTTTTCTATTTTTAGTAGAGTCGGAGTCTCCCTCTTGTTCAATCTGGTCTTAAATTCCTGAGCTCAAGGGGTCCTCCCATCTCCTGGTTCTCTCAGAGTGCTGGGATCACAGGTATGAGCCATCAGCCAGCCTCTATGTGTGCCTTATACATAAGGGGAGCAAGTGGCCACCAAGAGGGGCAGTGGGAGCTGATGACCTCTTATGACCTGGCCTTGGCAGTTACGTAGTCTCACTTTCTCTATTCTGGTAGATGCCCTCAGGAGCCTACCCACAGTCAAGCAGTTAGGTGCAGGCTAGTGTAGACTCCCACCTCTCAAATGGGGAGCCATGTCAAACAATTGCGTGCAATTTATTATAGAACACCCACAGTGGGCTTGCATGTCAGTGTTGGGATATGTTAGAGCCCTTGACTTCTGCATATAATAAAGCAGCCATAAGCAGTGTGAAAAAATGACTGCACGCCAATAAATCCTATGGACGCTGAAGTCAGAATTTCATTTAATCATTAAGTATCACAAAATAGTCTTTTTTTTTTTTTTTTTGAGACAGAGTCTTAAGCTGTCACCCTTGGCAGAGTGCTGTGCCATCATAGCTCATAGTAACCTCCAACTCTTGAGCTCAATAGATCCTCTTGCCTTAGTTTTTCTATTTTTAGTAGAGACAGGGTCTCACTTTTGCTCAGGCTGGTGGAGAACTCATGAGCTCAAGCAATCCACCTGCTTCTGCTTCCCAGAGTGCTGGGATTACACGTGTAAGCCACCATGCCTGGCCTACAAAATAGTCTTTTTAAAAAACTTTGAAAGGTTAGAACTGTTCTTAGCTCATGGCCTATATAGAAGCAGGCAGTGGGCTGGATTAGAGTGTCTGTGACTAGCTCAGTGTTTCTGTAACTGTGCAGAGGAGACCTTTGAGTATTTCTCACAGGAAGCTAAACATTAAGTGTGTGAGAAAGAGACAAGTGACTTTAAATTTCATTTTCATTTTAAGGTGAATTTGTAAGGTATTATTTGTAATACATATTCAGTTCCTTTAATTGTGTAAATCTTAATGTTCATCAAGTTACAGAAGACTTGTTTAGAAGGGAAATGAAGGACTGGCTATGTTGTTGATGTCCTAGCTGAAGACTTAGTAATACATATTCTATCAGAAGTCAGAACTTGAAAAGATAGAACTTTCTTCTTGATGGAGTTTCCAGAAATGCATCATGTCATGTTAATTTATTTTTAAAATAATTACTCTATATTTTAAAAAAGGTTGTTGATTATTAGAATAAAAGATAAGATAGATAACCCTCAGAGTGAATTTTTTTTTACCTTCATTAATTTTGTGTGTGTCTACGATGCCAGGCAGTGTACTAGATGCCTAAAAACAGATGAACATGAACTCGTGCAGTAACTGCCCTTTCAGAGCACGAAACATGGTGGGATGAGCAGACAGTAGTGAGTGCAGCATCATCTGTATGCAGGGCATTCCAGGCCAAACCTGCTGCTCTCATGTCCCTAACTGCCCATTGAATTGAAAGTCAGGAAGAGAGGACCAGTAGATGAGTGTGAGCTGCTGTTCAAACCCGTCATGTCTGGTAATGAGCAAAGGGTCCTATCTCCATGTTTGCACCACACACGATGGTCTCTGTTACATTACTTTGGGGAAAGAAAAACAAAAAATAAAATAAAGATTTGTAAATGTTGAGATTTACCAGATTTTTCCCCCAAATAAAATTTTAGATGGGTGGAGAATTAAATAGAATAGATTGGGACCTATTGGCTGAATTACTAATTGGGATAATTATATTTGATCATTCTCTAAATCATGGGTTCTCAATTGGGATACTATTGTCACCTTGGAAAGGACGGATTCTTGGTTATGGGAAGCTGTCCTGTGGGTGGTGGGATGTGTAACAGCATCCCTGGCCTCTGCCCTTCTACTTTGTAGCACTCTCTACCAAGTTGCAGTAACTAAAATTTTCTCCAAACCTTGCCCAATGTTCCCTGGGGGGCAAAACTACCAGCCATTTTACTACAATGAAGAAAAGCTATATATTTATTTTAGTAATAAGAACTGTAGTTCAGGGAGAATTATAAATAGACTTATTAAATTTTCCAGACCCATAATTCCTCTTTGTTGAAGTGAGTTTCGACAACCCAGTATCAAATTAAACATTCATTCTTTTTTATGTCTGGAAAATTTTCTAAACTTTGTAGCTTGTGCCATTCTTAGCAAGGCAGAGTAAGACCCTCAGTCATTTAATTGAGACTCTGAAAGTTCCCGAATATCATTGGAACAAAATCAAGATTTAAAATTGGTTTGAAAATGACAAATGAAGATACTCTGATTTGACTCCATGCCCTCAGCCTGGAAGCTATTGGATTGTGTGAAACTCATAACCCAAAGGAGATGATTAGTTTCCTCTAGTGTGCTGATAATGAATAGCCCCACAAAACCAATTAGCTATAATTCTATCAGTCATTTCATTTGGGTAGCATTTTAAGGGGAAGAAAAACAGCACTGTTTTCCTTGGAGATCTGTGATTAAACTGTGGCATTTGATGGGAACAAGGGAAGAAGCAATATGTTCATCAGTCTGCTTCCATTAGTCTCACATGAAAATAAATCATGATGATGTCTGTTCACAGCAGTCAAGAAAGACATTTGTCCACCTCAAAGATTCAGAAGACCAAAGGGAAGTCTATTTCTGCCTATACCTTCTGTTTAATGTGGATGTCTGCGTGTGTGATGGGGGGGGAGGGCACGTCTGCACCTGGCAGGGTAAGTAGTGCCCCTGGGAGGTGCAGTAGGGGAATTCCCAGGCTATTTCCCCTCCTTGGTGTATCTCCTCTCTTAAAAATCTGTATGAATCCAGAACTCAAGTGGTAAACTGTTGTTGTTGCTCTGTAACAATTAATGCCTACCTTCGTGCTGTTGATGATGTCAGTAGTCCCTGGCATTTTACGGATAGGTACGATTCCCTTTGAACTGGAACACATGAGGTTCACAATGTGTCATCATCTTTTGTAAGTCAGAAGGTAAAATTTTATTGTTGTCTGGGTATCTTTCTGTGACTCCAAAGCGTTGTGCAATTTTTACCCCAACCCACACAGTGGAATAAGATTTGGATGTGTGTTGTTTACCTGAAATTTAATTTGTAAAGCTTGTGATACAAAAGATTTAGTTTATTAGAAAAAGTACAGTGGGTAATTGTCTTGGCTTTTCTATTTATTTTGCTCACTGTTATCCCACAGCTAGCCAAAAAAATCCGAGAGAAATTCAACCGGTACTTGGATGTGGTCAATCGGAACAAGCAAGTTGTAGAAGCATCCTACACGGCTCACCTCACCTCCCCCCTCACAGCCACCCAGGACTGCTGCACTATCCCGCCTTCCATGATGGAGTAAGACTTTATGATTTTTGTCATTGTTGTTTAAGCCAGAAATTGAATTGCTTGTACTTCCTGTTTCATATTTAAAACACTTATATTTGTTTATTGTAAAATGTGTAGCTTATTTCCTATTACTTAAGATGACACCTTTGTCTTTACAGAGAAAAATAATTTTTAAAGAAACGTGACTCAACGTGCTATAGCCAGGAAATTCCTGGACCTTCCCTCCTCACCTTTTTGTCATGTTGGAATTCAGGGTCAGGCATATCAACCGTTGCAGAGTCTAACATTTTGTAACCAGTCAGCTATTAACCTGTGTAACTTGCTTAATTTAAGGGAATGCGTCTGTCTTCAGATGATTAACCAAAAAAAAAAAAAAGTCCCATTTCTTACCTTAGTAGCTACTATCTATAAAACTCCTCAGGGAAATAAGATTACAGATAATATTGAAGCAAGATTAGTACCTGTCTGTAGAGCAGCGATTCTCAACTGCAACCCACAGGAACCGTATTAAAGGGCCATAGCATTAGGAAAGTTGAGAACCACTGGTGTAGAGGGTGTTTTTATTTATTGACCTGGTAATATTAATATCTGGAGGGTTACAGGCCCTATGATACTGGAAATTATAGTGGAATGAATATTTTTCTAGAGATACAAATAATTTTAAGTTTGACTTGGCCTCTAATTAGCTATAGGTGCCTTAATCAAGGTACTTTTTTTTTTCTTTGAGACCGAGTCTCACTCTTTTACTCTGGGCAGACTCCTGTGGTGTCATCATAGCTCACAGAAACCTCAGACTCTTGGGCTCAAGGGACTGTCTTGCCTCTGCCTCCCAAGTAGCAGGGATTATAGGTGTGAGCTACGATACCTGGCTAATTTTTTCTATTTTTGGTAGAGATAGGGTCTCATTCTTGCTCAGGCTGGTCTTGAACTCCTAAGCTCAGGGATCCACTGCCTCAGACTCTCAGAGTGCTGAGATTACAGGCGTGAGCCACCACACCTTACCCAAATTACTTAATTTTTATGCTTAGTTTTCTGTCAATCAATGTGGATAATAATCTTTATCATACCAATTTTGTAGCGCTATTTAGAAGAATAAGTAGGCTTGGTGCCCATAGCACAGAGGTTATGGCGTCAGCCACATACCTCCAGGCTGGTGGGTTGGAACCTGGCCTGGGCCAGCTAAATAACAATGACAACTGCAAGACAAAAATTGAGTGTGGACGCTCAAAAAAAAAAAAAAAAAAAGAAGTAAAAGATGTTACACATGCTTTTAAAAACATGTGTATATAAATGCAAATTAGTATGTATTTTTCCTCTTTTTTTTCTTTTGAGACAGAGTCTCACTTTTTGCCCTGGGTAGAGTGCTATGGCATCATAGCTCACAACAACCTCAAACTCCTGGGCTTGAGCAATTTTCTTGCCTCCCCTTCCTAAGTAGCTGGGACTACAGGCACCTGCCACAACGCCCAGTTATTTTTAGAGACAAGGTATTGCCGTTGCTTAGGCTGGTCTCAAACCTGTGAACTCAAGCAATCCACCCACCTTGACCTTCAAGAGTGCTGGGATACAGGTGTGAGCCACCCTGCCCAACCCAATATTTTTCCTCTTTTTAAATGATAAGTGCTCTTTAGGCTAGGAGAAGAATGGATGTAATGCAGGGTTTTGGTGATTTTATGATCTTTTGTTCCCATGGGCAAGTTTTTACTTATGGTTTCTTGGTGGGCTTTGGTGGTCCCAGGGCACCCTGAAGTCATTTTATTTTTCCATTTAATGTTAAGATGAGCCTTTCTCAGACTCACCCTGTGTGCAGGCTGAAGAAGCTTCTCTGAGCTAAATGGAAAGTCTGCACGATTTGGAGCGAGCCTGTCTGACACTCGTGTGATCCTGTATATTCTGATGTCTTTGAGCTGTCCTATCTACTATTGTTAATACCCTGCAGGGTATCATAAGCATTTATCGTAAGCAAAATCAAATGTGAAAATATTTTGTAAACTGTAACGTTCTAAATAGATATTAGCCATAATATTTACATATGTCCAAGTCAGCATGAGCATTACATTTTTTGTTTGTTAAGTTAATCAAATGTTTGATTTGATTTTTGTAGTTACCAATACAGTAACTTAATGCTTTTGACAAAGTTATCACTTATCTAAAAGTGAAATGGGGGTTCAGTTCAGTTTTGAGCCCCAGTAAAATTAATTTTCAATACAGGGGGGAAAAATGGTATAGTAAGGAAAGGGTTCCTAGAACTAGAGTTATGCTTTTTTTCTCCCTAGGGACAGACATGTGACAGTGTCTGGACTATTTTCAGGTGTCACAAATGGAAATAGGGGCAGAGGGGAAGAGGCTGCTGGCACCAGTGGGCAGAGCCCAGGAAAGCCACAACAGCCCCTCAGAAGAACAAATTGCCTGGCCCCAAATGATGGGAGTGCCCAGGTTGAGAAGCTCTGTGTTAAAAGAAAGGTTGTCTTCATAAAGTCCCAAAAACTAGTACCCTGGGAAGAAAGGAGGAATACAGAACTTGGACTGGCTGGTTTCCACTGGGAATCTGCCCCATTACTTGTCCACCTGATGAATTTCTATTGCTGTTGCAAGGAATACCTTCCAATGACCTCTTTCTTCTTATTTCCTTGTGCCCTGGAAAAATCTATTGCTCCCTCATCTTTTTCCTGAGGTAGTTTTTATGTAGTGCAGGACTCGGTGTGTCACCCTGTGTGTGAGTCTTCCTCCCACCTGGCAATTATGTTTATGTTTAATTAACTATTTGCTAATATCTGAATTGATTTGAATACATATAGCCTCCCAACTGTTATGGACAGAACCCTGTGGCTGGCAACTACATTTATGTCTAATTAACTATTTGTTGATATCTGAATTGATTTAAATACGTGGATAATAAAGGGATGTCTACTCTCAAGAAATGTGTATTAGGAATGAGGTGGCAAATACTCAGTATAATTGGCATTATTAATAGGATAAAAGTGTGGTCCCTCAGAGCAGTGGACCATGTAATAATGGAGGGATTATATCAGAAATAATTTTATGAACTTTGCAAATGTACATCTTACTTGATTTGGCCATTTGGAGGAACATCACAAGAAAATACCCAGACATGTTGTTTATAAAGATTAACATGTAAAGAATGTTATTATAGTGGCTTTTGGAATAGAGAAAATTATATTGTAAATTTCTCACAATAGGGGATTAGTCAGGGAAGTTGCTATAGAAGCTGACTGTGAAAATGCCCCCTCCCCCCAACACACACACAGTGGGAGGATATACATGTAAATGCTTGGGGTGGAGACAGTGGTTTTCATTTTGAATATGCTGAGATGAGGATTCAGGTCAGGTAGCAATAGGCCATCTCACCTGGCAAAGCCCAGTGGTCAAACTTTTTGTCAAAACATAAAATATGGTTGTTGAACAGCTAAAAGGCCTTTCCTGCACTCCTCAAAGGGTGCAGGCTGAGCAGAAGAGCAGTGTTAGAACATTTTAGTGCAGAAGACGCAGCCTCCCCTCCTCACCAAGCTACTCTGCAGAGCCAAGAACTGCTAGCTGGGTAAATCTTGTAAAACCTGGGCAGTTCTGAGGATAAAGCTGAACAATTAGAAGATACGAACAAGATAAAACCTCTGGTGACAGAGATTCTGCAACAGCTATTCACAGAAAAGGGAGTAACTTTGAATGGAGCTCATGTTCCAGGGAAATGTGTGTAGGAATTTTGGGAGTGAACTCTGAGCTAATAATTTTCTAATTGTTGGCTGAATGCAGTGCTTTCTAAAATTACAAAATCACCCCACCTTTTTAATTAAGGCTCAAAAATGTTAAGTTAGTAGTAAGTAGTTGGAGTGAACCAGGATATGATTATAAATCAGTAATCTTATCTTAAATTAAGATAAGAATCCATAGGATAAGAATAAGATAAGAATCCATAGCTGGCTGCCTTTGTTCCAATCCCACATGAGGTGCTCTTGTCTGTGTGTGCTAAGTGCTATAATAACTTGCTGAGCACAGTTCAATTCCTTCTTTCCTATATTCCAATCCCTCCAAAAATGCCTACATTTTGATTCTCAGGGAGTTCTTGGACTTAACGCAGAAAGGAGAAACTCCTAATCTTTCAAGGCACATTGAGGATGTGATTTGATACTTTACTTTCTTTTTTAAGGCTAGACAGATTAGATTTTGAATGTCTTTGACTCACAGTTGACCTTAAGAAGTCGGTTAAATTCTGAGCTTCAGTTTCCTCATCAGTGAGGCAAGAGTAACGATAGTATCCACCCCACTATTCAGGAGGTTGTAGGGAGATGTTCTTAGCTTTGCCCTTAGAAAGAAATTTTTATTTAATAATTATGTATTTATTTTAATGTTAACTTCTGTGTTAAGACGTACCATTTTTTCTCTACAGGCAATAACATAAAACTTCTTTTAAAAATAAATTTAAGTTAAAAATTTGAAATATTTATTTTAAATGAAAATATCACCTTAATTAATGTGACCAAAATTTTGAAGGTAACAGATGTGGTAATAACCGAAGTTTATGAAAAATGGACACAAGATTATCGCTAAGGTTCTTCTAAAGTATAAGACAGTATAGCTCTGTACAGCTGACTCTTTAAGATTCGTATGCCCGTGGACTGTGTCTGGCCACGTACAGATATACTTATGAGGTCGTTGTAATAAGTACAAACAGTGAGTCTCTGGCGAGGGGTCTGCATGCCTGGTTCTGGATCTCGTTCATTCTTTTTTTTTTTTTTTTTTATTAAATCATAGCTGTGTACATTAATGCAATCATGGGGTACAATGTGCTGGTTTTATATACAATTTGAAGTAGTTTCATCAAACTGGTTAACATAGCCTTCATAGCATTTTCTTAGTTATTATGTTAAGACATTTGTATTCTACATTTAGTAAATTTCACATGTACCCTTGTAAGATGCACCATGGGTTTGGTCCCACCTGTTACCCTCCCTCCACCCAACCTCCCCCCAATCTTGTTCATTCTTAACATC